CCACTTTTCTTGTCATATAGTACTATTTCTAAGCAAATTCACCATCTTGGCGGCTCTCACGGAGCGGGAGCGCCCGGATCAGGCAATTCTTCCCGGTCTCGGACATTCATCCGAGTATCCGATTCCGTTCTTGGCCCTTTTTTCTGGTGGTTTCCAGTAAAGCCGTATATCCGTTGACGTAATTTTCGATCCTTCTGGGCGATTGCGAAAAGTACGTTTGGGGTAGTTTCGGAGACTTTTTTGCTGTTGTTCTCTTTGGAAGGGGTGAAAAAGGGGAAACCTGGTTCTGCTATCATATTGGAGGAAATATGAGTAAACTAGAACACGTCAAACATCCCATGTCCTCCCAACTGGCCAATCCAAAGATGTCCTAGGTATGCACCTGCCGCTGGGACGATCACGATATCATTTACCGCGCGAGCCGGACGATCGAGTGCGACATTTCCTGGCAGTTGCTTCGTTCGAATTACTAAATCAAGCATGGATTTTCGGCCCAGACGAGGACAGTGCTCGTATGCTGAACGGCCACGTCATTTATCAAAACCGTTTGTAACCGCTAGGGCGTGGTCTGATTCATACCTAGAGCTATTTCGCACACTGATTAAAAGTGTCCGAACTTCAGGTTGATCCGCTTTAGTCTGACTTAGCGGTCTTTCGGCTTATCTGATGCACTGTTCACCGGTCAATTTCCCTTTTAATGCCGAACAGGTCTTTTGGATAGAGACCACGTGATCTGATCTAGGGCTAACTTGCATTCATACTCGGTTCACCTAGTTTCTGCCGGATATCTGGCCCTCTCGTAAAGTGGTTACGCATTTCTGGAGAGTTCCAGTAGCAGGTGTCGTATAATTATATAGACGACGTCCAAATAAGCTTATCTCTAAAGGCTGCCTCCGTTGGATCACGTACAGCTTGCCTCCTCCATACAGAATCGAGTGTTAGGGCTCCACTCCAACTAGGCAGAAAGATGAGCGTGCGGAGAGAGATGGGCTGTCGGGGTGGCGATGTGAACAGCCTCTCCAATCATGGAGGCTGCTTGCTGCGCGGTGACAAGGCTTAGTTAAGACTGATGTGACCCACGAAGGAGGTACCGGTACTTGTCCAGACGTTGTAGATCTGGGCTACTCGGATGTACCCATCGTAGAAGCTTGGACTGAGCTTTCCGTGTGGCCGGATCGTGTCAGTTCATCTGTCGAGGGAGGCTTTTGGATTGGTCCGGACTGGTATCCGTCGGTTGATGGTGATGTTCTTGACAATTGTGCCCTTTCTAGTGGCTGTGACAGGCGCTGACTCTTCAACTCCACCTGCAGCATGCATCTCTGCTGCTGGCTTGTTGAGCGGTTGACTGTTTCATATTATATAATCCACAAATCCTGCACACTGCGTGTGGAAATCTTTGTACCTTGCTTTCCGGACAGATCATCCGCCATTTCAGCTCCACTTTCTTGGATATAGTACCATATCCCCATGCAGGATAATCAACTGTGTAGTAGATTTGCTTTTCTGAGAGATTTGCATGGATTTGAAGAGGATTACTTCTTGATAAATTGTTGGGAAGGCATCGTGGATGTCGTTTATACATTCAATCCCCATCTGAGTAAGTGATTTGTAGCCGTCCTCGTGTAAGGAGATATGAATCACTGAATTTTAATTTGGATAAAACTTAACCCTTGCCATAATGAACGTATGATGTAAAACAAACGATATCTGGAGGATGCTCTCGCAACATGTGACCGCACATCATCTGACAGGGAGATTCCATATGGCTCGCCCTGTGTCCTTGACATTATACAATGAGCAGCCCAGTCTTTTTCACAACAGATTCCATTAAGCTCTATGTACATCGATTAAAGCATCAGGCTTTGAAAAGTTCATTGTCTTCTCTCCCGAAATCGACAGCATGCCTCCCCGCAAAGACATATCTTGCTCAATTGCTTCCAATAATGATCTGAATAATCAACAGTGATCTCACTTCCCGCCGTCACTCCTCGCGAAACGACAATTATGCGTTCCTTTCCCCGCCAGTAGAATCGCTGAAACTGGCTATTTGGACGACAAGAGTGGTTGATGAACCGCGTGAAATTGCCCATCTGCCCTTGGAAGATCTGGTACGTTCTCGTGCGACTACCGCCAAGCATTACGTCGACGCCCTCGATGCCTTTTGTGATAAGACCCGTGAATTCACCGATGGCGATGCCACGGTCGAAGTTCTGCTCGTTGTTGGTTAAGATAGTGTAGATTGTGTTTGAGCGAAGAAGGCAAAACTTACACTGCGAGCTATGACCCCGTTGTTCTTCCCGCTGGTTGTATGGAACAGCTGTACTGGCACTGGGTTTCGCACGCCCCCAAACAGTGTGGGGAAACATGAGCAATGATTCTTCTCGATCTCATCGGACTGCCTCTCTTTGCACACCACACACACATCCGAATCTATTTCCGGAACCCGGCGAGGGTCCTCTGTGCCAAAAGCAGCAGTGTCAAGCACGCACTCATCGATAAAACGGTAGTGGAAGCCATTTGGTAGCTGAAGATGCTCATATGTTGAAGTTAAGGGGACTGCTGGTCTTCCTGTTACTGTTACCCATTCGTGTGGGTGACCGTGGTACTGCCGTGTCTCTTGTTGCCCAATCACCTGGAGAAGATCCCTCCAGTCCGGATGCAGCGTATCGGCGGCGACCTCCAGACTAGATCGGATATGTCGGAGGCGCGTGGAGAACCCTTCTCCAAAACCAGTACGGTATTTGCAGAAGCGGTATACCCCGCGCTTGCAAATATCAAACTGGCCCAACCGCCGGCATCTTTGATTTCTTTGTATCCGCGCCAGATAGCGCTTAATCGAGGAAGATTAGCCTGGTGACTCATAGTTCAAGAGGGTATATCACTTACATTCGGTTCCGCAGATCCTTTTCTTTCCAGTTGAGAACCGCACATGCCTCCCTCAAGCCCATCATCCGGATTTCCATAGCCGACAGGTTAGGGTTTTCTAAGCGAAGAACAGCGATACGAGCTTCGTAACATTCAATCCAGTAGGCTTGCACTATCATCTCAAGCGCGCGCGAGGACTGACTTTGGTTATAGTATTTCAAGCATAGGGTATTGACTGCGCGGAATACCTGGTGATGGTCAGTTATCCCAAGTCTTACGGCATGTACGAAGCTATTGGGGGACTCGAATTGAAGCCCTGTGTTTTACGTGAATGGGTTTACGGTATAACCTACCTCTCCACTAACGCCAGTTCGGATGTCTATGCCGGGCTCTATGACCTAGGTTTGTTAGTTGGGTTGAGAGAGTCACCATTTCACGCCGGGAAGTCATACTGAATGGAATCGGCTCAGTTGGACAGGTGAAAACACTTGTCTCCAGATACCCGCGATGAGTTTGTCGGTTGAAGTTGGTTCTAGGACTGGAGCAGATGTATCTTTGCTTGGGTTTTTGCGTTGGGGAAACCTAGTGTCGCTATGTACCTGGCGAACAGACGACTTTTGAGCATCGTCAGTCATCCCATTTGAATCTGGTGCTGTATAGCCGTCGATCTGAGATTCAGCCCCTGCAATGGCAGCGTCCTGGTTATGCGGAGCCAAGCGAAGACCACTGACGGTCTTTCTTCGCTTAAGGGGACGTGGGCCATGGTCATCTATAATGGCTTCCGGAGCAGCTACGGTATCTCGCTTATCGTACTATATGGAAAGTTAACCTTCTACCAGAAACGCAACATATGGAGGGTATCATCTTACACTTGTCTCTGAGACCTCTGGAGCCAACTGCGTCAACGGCACAACACGGTCATTGCTTAGATCAACGCAACCCTGACCAGTTAGCACATAGGCATCGGCAGGCTGCAACATTAATCTGATCCAGTAAGACCAACCAAAATCCATGAGCTATCTCGAGATACACATGGTGCACCTGAAAAAAGCGAAGCTTCAATACGAAGGAAAAGGTTACTATTCTTTCGCTCCAGTTGGGAGGATTCCTTGAGATCCAAATCTTTCCTCGGCCTTTGCTTTGACGCTTCAATCGCAGATGTCAGTTGCGCGGGGAAGTCGGGGTTCTGGAGAAGGCTGCATAGCTGAGATACTAAAGAGAATGAGGATGAGGGCTCCATGTCGACTGAAGACCCACTCTAGATGGAGGACTCAACAACGAACCCTTGTAAACAGTATGTATACTCTTCAGGCGCCAAGACAACGTGTGAAAAATTCTGCCTGGGCAGAATTGCTGACTTATCAGCGATCATTAGCATGATGTCATTCAGCCAGTGTTATTGTCTCCTCGATATGTGGCATGATACAGTTACAATTATGATTGGTTCTACTGGATATACGTGTCCATACATTTATCGACTGTGGTAGCCTGTATACGTATTGTGGCAATCATTGAGCTCTGCAACTTTTGCTGCCTCATATGTTTGTAGGCTCACCTACTGTTTTAACGTGTAACGTCGGGAATAGCTTTCACTCAATGGCCAATACACTAAGCAGGGAACTATCACAAATGCTGGTTTCTAAGAAGAGCACAGGAATTTACTCAATACAGCCACTCCGTATGCATAACGGTATCCACGATGCCCGCATAGATCTAATGCGAGAAGTGCCTTGAGCACATTGCATCACTCACCAGTCGGAGTTCTGAAAGATGAAAGTAGGGAACAGTATTTGAATGGTATCGCTTGGAACGCTTCTATATACATTTATATACACTGCTGGACTTGCTATAATATAAAAGACTTCGGGCCGTTACGACATTGACTTGAGCTCCGCTTAATCGGAATGGGGCGCGTGTTTCTGCTCATTGTGGTTAAGGTTGGACACACTTTTCGGTCACCACCATGAAACACATTGTGGTGGTATGTTGCAGTCTGTAACTCCGTAGTGCGTCTCGTCGGTGTTTCCCTAAGAGGGTCTCATCTCGACCCGAACGACGGAGCCATCCGTGGTGTCGGATGTCGCTGGTAAGAATAGATATCGATCCAAGTGCTACACCGAGCCATATTTGCTTTTTTATAGCCATTCGGGTGTCTTGCACGGGTGATCTTCCCGGTCCTTCTCAATCTTATCCAAGATCCACCCGGATTTATACGATCCCTTACCATCTTCAGGATCTTTCTGGTATCCCAGCCGATAGGAGAAGGAGAATCCACAGGTCTGATCGTGGTAAGCGAACTGGAAGCACTTGGAATGCTCCTGACACGCCTTCTGGCATTGCTCAAAAGAGCTATACGCTTCCTTCTCGACGGGGGTCATCTCCGAGGGCGACTTCTGTCGCTGCCCTTCCACACCGGCGCCCGGAACATCAAGTCATCGGAGAGATTATACCAATTGTCGCGCTCCGAGGGCAGCGCACGACCCATGAAATAGTCATACAGCTCACTAATAAGCAGCGGGTCCTATTTGTCGTTAGCCATCACACACTCCCACTCTAACAGACATGAATGAGCACGTACCTGCGGATGTTTCCGACGCTGCTCGTAGTTCCACATCTCATTAACATCCACCGGCGTCACACTATGCATGGTAATCAACGGCTGACACCCATGCCGGGACCCCGAATTCGGCCGGGCCCAAACGGAAGCGTATTCTGCTTCTCGCCCTGCATCATGGGCCATTTATTGGTCAACTCGACGCCCTTTTCCTTGAGGGCTTTCATGAGCACGTAGTCGCCGTAGATCTCGTCGTGCATGCGCTCGTCGTATCGCGCAGCCAGATCGGCATCACCGTCCAGGACGCGCCTCATCGCCTCGCGCGACAGGATCACGCCGCTTCCTCCGTGGGCGAACTTCTGGCTTTGGAACGTCGCCGCCGAGCCCAGGTAGAGCGGCTGGGCGGGGTCCATCCGCGCCAGCCACTGCACGAGATTGCCCCAGAAGAGATACGTGTCGGCCTCGACGAACACGTACCAGTCGTGGCCGGGCCGACGCGCCCAGGTCTGCACCAGCATGTGGATGAACTTGTACTTGTCCAGGTCCCAGGCGGCCTGGCGCGAGGTGCGGAGTTGCCGGATGTCCCGGCCCGCGGACAAGTACTCTTTGATGGTGCGGTAGTAGGCGAAATCGGGATGCGTGGCCTTCAGCGTTTCATTGACGTTCGCCAGCACGTCATAGACATGGTAGGCGCCGATGTCTTGCTCGGAGTCGGCGAATATCAGCGGGTCTTGGCAGCATCGCAAGGCTGTGAGCAGTTGCGTGGGCAGCTTATCGTAGATGATGTTCGAGCCTGTCTTGACCACCACCTGGATGTGGGAGGTGTCGGGCACTCCGCTGCTGCATCGCACATCATCGGGGTGCCATGGGGCGGACGAATTGTGCTTGGGGGTTGTGGTTTGAGGGGACGAACTGTGGAGAATTCGGGTCTGTGGGGGGTTGGCGAAGACAATCAAAATAATGATGGTGGACAGCAGAATGGCGGTGCCACCCAGGATGCGACCGGAACATAGGAACCGGGTCATGATAGGATTCGCACAGGGATGAGAGGAAAATTCTTTGTTTGCATTTGACCACGACACAGCAAAGGAATTAAATACATGAAAAAAAAAGATCCGCATATCTTGTGTTTGTCTTTGGTGGGTGGGCTGAAGATGAATGGATTCTGGTAGTTAAGCACTAACGTTCTTAATTTAGTATGACGAATGAGACATCGTATTTAGCGTTCCCACTCGACGTCACGACAACTGAGACCCTGGTGGCCCTGCCAAGACGTTAGACAAGTGTGCCGTAGAAATCAGTTTGACTATCGTCTTCCTTTCCTTTCACTACAGGAAGAATCCTCTCGGTAGTTGCCAGATCTGCGGTCAACTCGTGCGCCCTGCCGTTTCGTTTGTCTTGGTTGTTAGTAGTTAGGGTTACTCGCGGTCATGACCCTCGCAGCCATGGACCACATGTATTCCAGCAACAACATCGGCGCGACAGATTTGAATATGCTTTTATTATCGCTAATTCCTTTTACATCTCAATCTCTATCGTTCATGGGCGGTGTATCGTGTACAACTTCAAGAACCACCGATCCGTGCACAGAGCCCTAATTCCAAAACAACCTCTCACACGTGTGACAGTCATGGCCCCCAAAGCCACTCTGCCAGTTAAGGCGTCCTATGCTTCCGCCTCGTACCGTCTACTCCCAATACTACTTTGTTATCCCACCTCAAGAACAACCTCCTCCGACAGGACCTGAACATCCCATGGAACGGCACACCCATCGCCATAGCGATGCACCAGCGCCGTCCAGACAGAGATGAAACCAAAATTCATCCTCAGTCAGTAGCAGTATCTCTATTATAGTTCCAAATCCAAGTCACATAGATATCCAGAAAGAAACCAGCCCCCCGTCTCAATCAGCCCTAGATTATTATTGCGGATAGGTATTTTATGGCGATATACTCAAATAGCAATTCAATGTGGGCGTTGTAGATTTTGTAGGCACTTAAAAGTATAGACTACCTATTCAAAACAGGTTGGGTAGGATAAGTCGCAGTCTGTGAAAGTACCCATCGGCAGAATCTGTGTCTTTCAGAGACATTTGGCAGTACCTGCGTGAACTGTATGATTGATATTATCTGTAACCAGAACAATGTCTCTTCGTGTGCTGCTGAAGTACAAAAAGGCTATATTACCGACGACTTTCTATCCCACTCGACATTTCTCCCAAGTTGCGCCACCTCACGCTGCTAAAATTACATTTTGTACAATTCCCCGCCTCTCACTGTTTCCCCTCACCACCCACCACAAAACGTCACTCACGACAGGATGAACTACCCTAGTGGTAGTGGTCGCAACCGCCGAGGTCACGACGAGCTACCAGTTCGCGCGGACCCAGCCACGACGAGTCCTCCTGTGCGGCCTTCTGCAGTCGCTCAGTAACGGCATCCATGTCGAGGTCAAGAACAGCCTCAATGTAGCGAGGCAGCTCAGTGTTATCCCAGCCTCCGGCGAGGTCAGCCTGCAAGGCGCGACGCTTCTGGCCAGCGGCATAACCATGCAGGGTGACGTCGACGGAGGTGTGGCCGCCGGTGGACCAGTCGACGCCAGCGCGAGAGGACAGAAGGGCGGCGATGCCGGCCCCGATACTGGACGCGTCGAGGATGGTCTGGATTTCCTCATCGGTGACGGTCTCGAGTCCGTACGCCGGGAGAATCTCGGAGACGAGGAAGTCGCGCTCGTCGGCGTCAGCTGGACGCTCGTTGTCCCAGACGGACTGGAGGTAGGCGCGCGAGTGCGTGGCGTTGCGCAGAGGGAGCGGGTCGTAGCCGTTCAGGGTCAGGCCGCCGGTTTCGTGGTCGGCGGCGGACAGCATGATGGTGTCCGGGTGGCGGTCGATCCAGTCGCGCACCCAGGCCACCACGTTGTTGTACATGACGGTCTCCGAGGCGTGGTTGGCCGGGTCGTTGTCGTGTCCGGCGTGGTCGATTCGCGCGGCCTCGATCATGAGGAAGAAGCCCTTGTTCCGGCGACGGGTCGCGCGGTGCAGCGCATTCACGGCTGTCTCGGCCATTTCCAGCAGGGAGGGTTCGTCCTGGATGATGCGACGGTCCATCTCGTAGCGCATGCTTCTGCGAACGGTTAGCTTTTGCCTCCTGATGCAGGAAGGAGGAGGAGGAACTCGACTTGCCTTCGCTGAAAAGACCTAGGATTGGCAGCTCTACCCGACCCTGGCCCTTCTGAAGAGCATTGAATTCCTCGCGGTCCGTGGCGACCGTGAAGCCCTGCTCCTCTGCGTAGGTCAACAGGTCGAAATCGTCCGTACGGCAGGATCCCTCGGTGGTGTTTGGCGAGAAGTTGCAACGGCCGCCACCGAGAAGGAGGTCGACCATGGGGCCGAGGGGATGGCTGTAGCCGAGCTGTTGCTCTGCGATCAGGGGCATAGAGGCACGGTTGGCGGCGTGAGCTGCATAGACTATAAGGGGGATGAGCATCGTTTGCGGGTTTAAAGCCGGGTGGGGAAAGTGTGTATCTTACCTGCAGGGGTGGCATCGCTGATGTATGTGGTGGAAACGAGACCAGTCTTCAAGCCTCCAAGCTTTGCGGCCTCGAGGATGGAACCCACAGGCTGGCCATCGGGTGTGACAGAGATGGCACCGTTGTAGGACTTGTGGCCGGCCGCATACGCGGTCCCAGAAGCAGCCGAGTCGGTGATCATTTTGTTGGCGGAGTGGGTGCGGACACGTCCAATGGCCTGGGAGAGAACTTAGCACCGAATCACAATCTCCTCATCATTCCCAGGTCAGGACGAGAGCAGACTCACCAGGTCGTCCACGGCAAGCTCGTTGATCTTCGGGTTGCTGCCAGTCGTGCCACTATCAACCAGAGAGACAAGGTCGCGGGCCATGTTCTGCGACGCAGGCCCGTAGCCATCGGGAACGATATAAATAACGTTCTTTGCCTGGACAGAAGCTGCAACTGCAGTCTGGACAAGGGCCGCGCCCGCGGTGATGGCAGTGCGGATATGCATCTTGAGAGACGTCACTTAAAGACAGACAAGTTTAAGGGACAGCTTTATCCCCAGTCATTCAAGTGCGCAGGCAGCTTTTATAGATCTTCCCACCAACGTCCGGGTATGCCGGTGCCTTAATATCTCTAGCCTTTTGTTATCAGAAAATTCTGGTTAATTTAATTCAAATCAGCGCATCCGACTCCACGCTCCCAATTGGAACCAGCTGCCAAACAACGTGCTGGGAGGGCTGAGATTGGGGCATCTTGGCCATCTCGGGTATCACAGTTCCAGTTGAAGCCTGTGTCCACGTTCTTCAAAAACAGCTGCATAGGAGTTTGCCAGCGATCGAAGCGAGAGGGTAAGCGACGCATAAGTGGATCGTGTCTAATGAGTTCTTGAATCAGAAGATGCCAGTTTCCCACGTTCTCATCGGCCAAGAAATCGCCCATTCGGATGCTCGAACGCCCAGCGACAGCGGCGCTTGGCTTCGTGCGGAGTAATTTCCCACGTCTTGGCCACTCAATCAGGCTCAGCTCATATGGACAGTCAAATTGTGGGGTGAGAGGAAGCCATTCATGGAGAAGGTGAAGTGGGCCTGCCATATATTCACCCTAATTTTCCTCCTTGCTCTCTAACCTAAGCACTTACATTCAGTACACGACGGCTCAACGCTCAATTTGTGGAGAGTAATAACTTCAAACAGCAATAGCAACATCAATTTTAGAATAATCTAACTATAAACTATCTAGTATCGGAGGCGGAGAACTCTCTTTTCATTCTATATAGCTGTGCTTTAGTTATTGTCGAGATTTCATGCTGAACGAGAGCACAAAGGTAGAAAGTGGTAAAGCCTATGCGACTTTCTATTGAGTCAACATACATGATACTACCTTGAGCCACTCCATGGCCATCATGTATTTCAAAAAAGAGCCCTACTAATTCACATGACTCTAGGATAGAATTTCACTGCAAGGTAATTGAATAACTGCTAGAATATGGCTAGCCTGTCCAACGAACAGTGCATTTGCCTAACCCTATAAATCCACCCCGATCTGTCCCTCCCTATCTCCCGTCCCCTCTTTTTCTACCTTCCAGTATTCAGCTTCATGTTGGACATACGACCTATTTTACAATGCTTTGTCGAGCAAATATGATGTTTGAGGATACGTCAAGGGCAAACTCCGCATAGGCAGTATCTCGTAACAAATATTTGTTGAGGCGACACGCTCAAATTGCAAATGCTTCTCTCTATCCTGTCATTTCTACGTCCTTTGTTAGCCTCTGGGCAGTCTGAGGCAATTACTCAAGACAGTGACACATAGGCAGCACTACCGCTCACTGTTGACAATACTGGCTACTCATAGCCCTAATCACATTGAGAACAGTTCTGTTTCTGCTTGTGTGGCATTCCAGGGCGCTACAAGCCTTGTTGAAGAACACAGCCATCTACTATCGTCCGTCTGGAAATGAGGTCATATATGATTTTACTAGATGACATCGTGTGCAGGCTAAACGTGACGTACGAAGCGGATGGTTTTGTATACGCTATGAGTGTCTGCACATACCTCTGATGGTATCCCTGAGGTAGCGGATACTCGCCGAGTTCAGCTGATTGAAAAGATCAGTTTAATGGCACCAGAAATTGCAAGCCCAACTTGGGCGGTTTTATGGTTCTCGGATATAGAACAACTCGAGGATTTCTCTAATATGAAAGAAGCCATATTTCCATCCAGACTAACAGGACAAGTGATTCCCACTCATCAGATCCTACTGCAGTGTAAGTATTATACTCTTCCATTTCGAGTATACATATACTAATTTATACCAAGGGGCCAGCCGATAGACTCCGACAAAACCTTGAAAAGAAAATAATCAGATTCGATCAAGGATATAATAAGTTCTGTATCTACTACCCGTCACAGTATATATAGAAGGACAACTAACAATAGTTAGCGTATCTTCCATCCGCGATGAATATTGTTTGCTTACAGGCAAAGACGAGCCTGTCGAAATTGCCCATATCTACCCGTATAGTATGATGGGCAAGCCGACGACTGTACAGGAACTGTTTTCGAGGCATTTAGAGTCTTTTTAGCACCCAGACAGAATTGCGAGGCAGAAGAATATTATACTAGACCCAGCGGAACTGAGGTATTAGAGAATATTATATACCTCTCCCGGCTTGTAGGGGAAAGCTCGTTTTACCCTACAGCCACTTGGGCCATCTGTCGACTATATCCCGACGAAGAATGGAACGCCGACCGGGCTTCGGTCCTTCGAGATACGGGCCGAAAATAAAGCATTGGCAGTTCGGTTTTTCTGGATCCCTATATCGAAATACATCAAGACAATGGATCTTAAGACAACGCCGTATCTTCCGAACCTCGGATATACAGGAAAAAGGATCAAGCTTTTTTATTGCGGGTCAGAAAAGCCAATCTGTTCAGGCGATACTATAACAATAAAGACAAGTGATCCCAATAAATATCCTCTTTCGTCTTTCGGGCTGTTGGAGATACAATGGTTCTTGACTCGAGAATTGGGTTTGAGCGGTGCCGCCGATATTGATAGGGAGTATCTGGGCAGTGACTTGTTGCATTCTTTTCTGTCTTGGTTTTGGAATTTTATATACTATTATAGTATCTTTTTGTTGAGATATAGTAGCCTAAACATACCAAGTTTTGGTGTGTTTTGGGCTTCGTTGCAATACAGTTTGACCCAGTATTCTATAAATTCTTTATTAGAACCTCACAACAGAACAATCAACAATTGCCTCATATATGAGAATTCATGAGATAATATGTAAGCAGGAGCGCACGTTTGGTGGAAGACAAGGGGCGACCCCAGCTACAGGATTTCATCCTTGGCAATATATGAAGGAGAGCTCTGCATAGGGAGAGGATAAGTGACGGCCTCGGCCCGATCAATGATCCTCGCCTCGGAATTGGCCTGGATAGGATTAGTAGCTGAGGGGAAAAAGGAACGAGTAGAAGTCACGGTCACGATAGCTAGGACGCTTTAGGGCAGTGCAACCATGCGGCATTTGTTTGGGCAACAACAGCTGCTACGACCTCAGCTAACCGCCCCCCCCCCAACCTCCCTTCTTGTTTTCACTTCGCTTCTACACTCTCTGAAACATCTCACAAAATGGCAGATCATCATTCATTATTTCATTCTCATCATGATATATCTGTTATCCACGTTGAGCCATGAGTCAACCTGGTGCGTTTTACAACAGCAATCAAATCAGAGCAGTAGAAAACCGGTATCCCTTCTCAAGTCCAACCATCCATCTCGATCTTTTTGGAGCGAGAGAGCCCTACTCTCGGTTTCTCCCCATGCTCAACGGACGATCGATCGTCTTGCGTCGGCTGGTGCCCACGCGCAGCATGGGGACGAGGTAGGGGTCTGGGTGACTATGTGAGGTAGTCAGTGGCCCTTCTTCTTCCGTGGGCTCCCCATCTTCTCCCTTTTTCTTCGATCCTCTTTAGTTCTCAACGCCGATCTTGACCTTCTTCTCCGGAGGAGGGACCACCTGATCCTCGGAGGCACCCTTCAGGGTGGGGAGCTCCGAAATAGCCTCCGCGATGATCTCGAGGGACTTCTTGATCTCATCATCGGTGATCACGAGGGGCGGAGCGAGACGAATGATATTCTCGTGGGTTGGCTTGGCCTGGGGGGCGAGATTAGCACCATCCACATCAACAGCTGGAACATTCGAAGTACTTACCAACAAACCCTTTTCCTTCATCAACATACAGAGATCCCAGGCAGAGTGTCCATTGGTCTTCGACTCGTCAATAACAATGGCATTGAGCAGACCCTTACCACGGACGGTCTGGATCATGGGGCTGTTGATGGCCTTCAGACCATCGCGGAAGACGTGACCGAGCTTCTCGGCCCGCTCAACCATTTGCTCCTCCTTGACGACTTCCAGGGCCCGGATGGCCACCGCACAGCCCAAGGGGTTACCACCGTAAGTCGATCCGTGAGTACCGGGTTCGATGGTGAGCATAACATCCTTCCGGCCCAAAACACACGAGACGGGATACATTCCGCCGGAGATGGCCTTGCCCAGCAACACCAAATCGGGCTTGATGCCGCTCCATTCGTGGCAGAGAAGCTTACCCGTGCGGGCAATACCAGTCTGGATCTCATCGCAGATCAGGAGAACATTGTACTTATCGCACAGGGCTCTCGCCTCCTGCAGGTAGTCCTCATCCGGAACGACGATGCCGGCCTCACCCTGGATGGGCTCGACCAGGAAGGCCGCCAGGTTGGGGCCCGCTTTCTCAAAGGCCTCCCGCAGAGCAGCCTTGTCGTTGTATGTGATGGGCTTATCGGTGCCGGGAATGTTGCACCCAATGCCGGGCAGGTAAGGACCATAGTTCTCACGCGACTCGGGGTCAGATGACAGGGAGATGGCAGCAAACTAAATGGGAAACGGACCGGTCAGCTGACTTGAGTTATCTCACGACAGTTCGTCGATGCAGCACTTACCGTACGACCGTGGAAGTTGTTCTCGGCACTCAGGACGATCGCCTGGTTCTCCGGAATACCCTTCACCTTGTATCCCCACTTCCGGGCGATCTTGATACCGGTTTCGACAGCCTCCGCACCCGTGTTCATGGGCAGAACCATATCGAAACCGAAGAATTCAGTGACAAACTGGGCGAAGCGTGGGAAGACATCGTTATAGAAGGCACGAGAGCTCAGAGTGACCCGGGACGCCTGTTCCACGAGAGCGGCCACCAGTTTAGGGTGGCAGTGGCCTTGGTTGACCGCAGAGTATGCGGACAGGAAGTCCAGATAGTGACGACCCTCGGGGTCCCAGACCGAGGTGCCCTGAGCCCGAGCGAAGACGACGGGGAGAGGATGATAGTTGTGAGCGGCATAATCATTCTCGGCCTGAATCGCCTCTTGGGTGGAGGCGGCGTGGTAGGCACTGGCGCCGTTGCTTACACTGTGACCATTGGTCTTGGATGTGCCGTTTGAGCCGTTGACCGCCATGTTAGGCAGGAAGGAATCTATTCAGGGGAGAAACAGCGGTGGGAGATGGTAGTTATGGTGGGATACAGAAGGGGATGGGGTTGTGAGAACGAAAGAGGGAAGGACAGGACAGGACTCGAGAGCGAGGAAGAGCGAGTTTAAATAGAGAAACAAAGAATTCATTCACCAGACGCCGTGGTGGGCATGAGCCAAGCGAGCCAGAGAATTCGGCGAGATATCAAGTAAAAAAAAGGCATAGTGGAAAGGCTATACCTCTAAGTGCAGGTGCAGCCAGGCGTGATTCCCCTAAGTGCAGGTGTATCAGCGTCTCATACCCCTATGCGCAGGTTTAGCCGCGACCTCCATAGCCTATGATGCAAATCGTCCCATGGCTCTTGCGCGCTCCACTCTTTTCCGCCCTCTCCCACTCACAATTCGTTCATTACGAGTCGTCGCCCTTCCTCCGCCTTTCCGCTCCCGGTTAAGACCCGGTCGGACACTCTCGCTCTCTCCAGCTTTCCGATCTAAGTTAGCCGTTAGAAACGTCGCTTGTCCTTATCGCCTTACTAGTCGCCCTTATCCTCTCTGGATTTGGTTCCTGGTAAGGGGTTCCACCACTGCAACCATGTCAACTTCGTCACGACGGCGGAGATCGCCTTTAGAACGCTCTTCGTCGCGATCGTCTTCCTCCGCATCCTTGTCTTCCTCGTCTTATGCGTCGTGGGCATCAACCACTTCTCCGCCTTCTCGCCTGAGGCCACCCCCCCCCTCAAGCTCAAGCTCAACATCAACATCAACATCAACATCATCATCGCGAGCACGCACAACGACCGTGTCCACCTCTCACGTCTTCCTCTTTCTCGTCGCCTTCCGTCTGCTCAACGCCTTGTCCCTTCGCACCTTCTTCCAACCCGATGAATTCTTTCAATCGCTTGAACCGGCGTGGCAGACTGCGTTCGGCGAAACCCACGGGGCTTGGATAACATGGGTCAGTCGAATTATTGGCACATCGACACATGTCTCGGCGGAATGAAACTAACTGGCGCGGATTGTATCCTTCTGCAGGAATGGCGACACCATCTGCGATCCTCCATTCATCCTCTACTATTTGCTACCGTTTATTCCATCGCCGACCTTGGCGCGCGCGTTCTTCGTCTCTCCCCCGCATTCCGTGCTGATCTCCTCATTGTCGCCCCGAAAGTGGCGCAAGCCGTTCTCTCTGCCATTGGAGATCTGTATACGTGGAAATTAGCCCGTTACGTGTACGGACGTCGCAGTGATGAAGCCTGGGCTGCTGTATGCTCGAGCCCGCCCGATTTAGAGTATCCGGAGACTGATCGAGATCATAGCTTGCCTTGACCGTCCTCAGCCCTTGGCAATGGTTCTGTTCGACACGGACTTTATCCAATTGCCTCGAGACCACAATTACGATTGTCGCGCTCAATCTATGGCCATGGGAATGGTCGTCCGAATCCACACCACCAGTTCAACCGAGGAGGAACACGCGCTCCACTGCGAGGGATAATGGGGCAATTGACACCGGCGATGGAGCTTTTATTGTCAGGTACATTTGTTTCCTTCGAAATGGTACGGGCAATCTTGCTGAGAAAATACCTGTTAGGCTGCGCAAGTGTCTTACTCTTGCTGCATTTGCGTGTATCTTGCGACCGACAAACATCCTGATATGGATGGGCTTAGCTGGCGTCGCATGGTTTCGGAGCGCTTGGCGCGAGCGGACCATCCTCTGTCGCGAGGTTTTGCTTTGTGGGTAAGTTATTCGGAGTGCATTTCAAGTCTAATAGCTCACCACTATCTAGCGTCACGGTTCTCACCGGATCAGTCGTTCTGGATCGCCTTTACTACGGACTTTGGACGTTTCCGCCACTTAGATTCCTGTACTTCAACATATCCCAATCTCTGGCGGTTTACTATGGGAGAAATGACTGGCACTATTATGCAACCCAAGGCTATCCTCTTCTGCTTACGACCGCACTACCCTTTACCCTTGTCGGCCTCTATCGTACACTGACCCAGTCCCGGTCAACCACAGCAAACACGCAGCACGCGTCGGTGCAAACACAACTGGCAGCGATTTGCCTATTCATGCCGTTGGTGCTCTCGCTCATTTCCCACAAGGAAGTGCGGTTCATCTACCCATTGCTGCCCACGCTGCATGTCTTGACGGCCCCGCCACTGGTGGACTTCTTTCTCCCGGCTGTCTCTCATTCAAGCGGGGCATACATGCCCAGGCGGCTGTCTCTCGTTTTCTTGTTGCTGGTCAACGTCACCATTGCGATCTACACATCTGTATACCATGCCTCTGGGGCCATCAACGTCCTCTCGTACCTCCGCGACCAGCAGCAAGCCCACACCACTGTTGGCAACTCTCCATACTCGCCCGGTGCTTCGCAGCGGATCACGGCCGGGTTCCTCATGCCCTGCCACAGCACCCCATGGCGCTCCCACCTTGTCGATCCGAATATTCATGCCTGGGCGCTTTCCTGCGAACCACCTGTCGACTTGAATGAGGCTCAGAAGGCCGTATACGTCGACGAAGCCGATCAATTCTACAATGACCCCAGCCAATTTCTGCGCAACAACATGGTTGGCGGACTGCGCCATTTACCTCGAAAGCCCAGCTATCTGGCTTCCTCCAAACCTCGAGAAACCAGCCCGCAAGCCTACCAGCAAGCCACCCCGCACGAATGGCCCGACTATCTTATCTTTTTCGCCCCATTGGAACCCACCCTCCACAGCCTCCTCCGTAGCAGTTCATACGGCGAGTGTTGGCGTACCTGGAACACCGCCTGGCACGACGACTCTCGTCGCCGAGGCGACATCATCGTCTGGTGCCTCGACCCAACTGAACAAGCCGCCTGGCGATCAGCGACGCGGAAGCGTACCCTTGAGCATCGCGACCGTCAATTCGATCGGATCGTGGAAACATTCCGGAAGAACGCTCCTGGTCAGCGGAAATCCTCTCCTTGGACCCGATGGATATCATCTCTATCGGGGCAATCGGCATCCTCATCCTGGTCCTGGCCCTGGGAACAGCGCAGACGGACCTGGCTGGGAATCCAGTTACCGGTGTGGAAGAAGTCCTCATGGAACCTTCCCTCATGGACCTTGCCGAAATCTTCCAAGAAAAAGACCAGAGCCGTTGATCGGGATCTCTGGTCTTAAAAACTTGCATTCCTCTCCCAATCTACGGTTCTTTGATTCACTTCTTTGAATATATTCTATTTTTTGTATCAAAGTTTAGATAGATACCTCGCTCCATCTTAGTCAATAATCCAACCCAATTTCATTGGCCCCGAGTCTATACACATAACCGGTTCAGCTCTATATGTAGATTGCCATAGAGACTAGAAAGATCCTATATATCTATCTATTTATATACCGAGCCTTCATAAGACTGAAAAGCCCAATGATAGTTAACTCTCAACTTCTCATCCGATCTCCCTCAACGCCAGAGATGCACAAATAAATGTACTAATACAATCAAAGCACGCCAAAGAAACAAATAAATATATGGATCCAGGTTCAAGCGGTCTGTAGATACAAGACACAGACTGGAATATGTACCGAAAGCTTTTTCCATGTGCATACATATCTATACATAACTGTACGTGGTGGCGATATGCATGGATATAAAATATGTATGGGTAGATATATGTAGATATGAAGGTATGTATGTACTAATCAAATCAACCATACCGCGCACTCAAACTGGCGAATGCATCGGGGCTGTGTCGGCCGTTTTGGAAGGCGTTGATATCGACGCTTTGCTGGCTCATGTGGCCCTGCGGTCTTGGAAAGGCGCTTGGTGCCGCGGGCGGCATGGTGTTGGATTTCATGGGCATGGTGAAGGTGCTGTATTGGGGGTTGGAGTTGGGGTTGGGGTTGTTGGAGGTATGCTTGTTGCTGTTGCTGTTGGGGAAGTCCGGCAGCTGCTGCTTGAGTGGTGAGGAAGGGGTTCCGGGTGCCTGCGGAATGGAGGTCCGTGGGTTGCTGTGGTTGCGTAGTAGCGGCATAGCCAGGGGCCGGTGCCGGTGCTGCTCCCGGGCCGGGAATCGCTCCTGTGGGTTGAGACTGCTCTGACGTTGCCGATGCTGGTGGAGAAAGGCCGTACAACGACAGAATGCTGTTCTTGTCCATGCGGCCGGTCAGCTGCGGGGCTAGATGCTGCGCGGGCGCTGTAGGCCAAGCTGTGATTGCACCTGGTACCCCGCACTTTGCGGGGTTGGGGGCGCTGTCATGGGTTGGAATGGATTGTGGGATGCTTGCATCTGCTGGGGTGGTTGAGCCTGGAATTGGGGCGGTTGGACTTGGAGTTGGGGAGGTTGAATTTGTTGCTGTTGCTGCTGCTGGAACGGCGACGCGGTACCGAACGGGGAGGTGGATGATATAGCTGGCATGGTGTTGGCATGTCGAGGGGGATGAGGATATCCGGCCGGAGCCTGACTTGGGGGTTGCATCGAGTTGAGTTGCGAAGGGGGTTGGGTGAAAAAAGGATTTGTTTGCGGCTGAGCGACACCGGGGGTTTGGTTGGGAGCTGCAGTGAAGCTGCCGGATTGGAAGAACGGGTTGTGACCACCATCAACAGGCTGCGGTGACTGCACGACGGCACCCTGGGAGATTGTTGGCATCACAGGGGGGGTCATCGGCTGTTGGTAAAGAGGCTGAGGGAAAGATGGCTGCTGGTTGGGATATCCCCCGGTTGAGTGTGGGAATAACGGTTGCGAGACCTGAAGGTGTTGGAACGACGCCTCAAGCGTCTGTGCAGCTGGTTGCGGAGTAGGAACATCGAAAGGGTTGTAGGACTGCCCAGCAGGCTGAGTGGGCTTGGAATCCAACTGATCAAAGGGATTGCTGGAGGCTTGCTGTCTAGCAGTATCATTGGCCGTGGTTGTTTGAACAGGCGTTCTGCCCTGCAATGATGGGGGACCCTCCCCCAGTCTGACCAGAGTCTCGATTGATTTGTCGAGATTACCGTCCAAGCCCTTCAAAACGGCAGAGTTTCGATACTCATTGGTAAAGCCCATACTCCGCAAGGTGGCCATCTGAGTCTCGTGGGATGCATTGCTACTGCCAACAGAAGCCCCCATGCCCTGTGAGACTGCTCTGGGTGATTCATAGGTTTCAGAGCGGGGAGGCATGGCTTGCCGGTTGGACAGTCGATGGAGGCTGGTCGTAGACGAGGCCGATCGCAAACCGAAACCATAGGGCCGGGCAGGCTTGGGAGGAAGCGGAGGAGGAGCGCCTTCTGGAGAACGATCATCGCGAGTACCTTGACGACTAGGGGGTTTCGGTTTGCCTTCTTCTAAGGTCCGGTACTGGTACTTCTGACGAATAAACCGTTCCATGCATGCATCGGACTCGTCGACATCAGCAGGAACAGGGGGCTTCACGTTCCGAGGGTTAAAAATCTTGTTCATAAGGTTGTTCCCGTGCGATTTCATGTTCTGATAAGGAGTTTCCCTCAGCGTCAGCTCCAGAGCACTGTACGGCAAAGGCTCACGCGACCACTCACATCGACTTGTTCCGTCGTCCAGCTATCCATACTCAAGGATTTGACCTTTGAGATATGAGTGCCCATCTTGCGGTGCAGCGCGGCGCACCGCATGCACAGGAAAATACCCATCTATAGACATTATATCAGACTCCTGCGTACTCTGGAAAATCGCAAGCAATAGCTGGTGACGGTATACATACATTCCAACTGGCCCATCCTATCAAGAAACACCATACGTTAATATCGCAATGTTCCAGAAGCGCAGAAACCAAGACATCCCGCCGGACTCACCTGGATTCATTGCTTGGCAATCGGCGCATCGGTCATTGCCAGGAACCGACCGAATGAGGTCTTGCAGTGCCCGCTCATTGCGGAACTGCTGACGTTTGCTGATACCGGCCACCATGATCACGGAAGGTCTCGGCGAGGGCGAGAAGTTACTTGAAATTTCCCCGCACAAAGACAGTGATATTTGTCTAAGCCCGTCAGGGGCAAGAATGATAGACGAGGAGAGAAAGCGTTAGTGTAGCGTTAGGGGAATCAAACACGGCAAACGGGCCGAGCTTCCCGAGTACAAGCGGTCGGAAATGTTTTAGGCGAAGAGGCAGATCATATTTCGTTCGACCGGATAGTATTGTATTCTTTTTTTTCTTTCTTCTCTGGACTGGCAAATTCCCGCGGATTCAAACAATATATACGTACTAGGGGTAGCCGTAAACACTAGGGAAGAAGAAGAGGATATGTGTGTGCGTCGAAGAGTAAAAGGAGAAGAAGGATGGATGAGATGTGCAGTGGATGTGGGGAAAGAATTGACCATTAGTGGTTCCTAAGGCATGGAATTACTATATTGGTCTGTATCCAGATTCCATCCTTCAGATAGCGCGATTTTTCCAGGCCCAAAGTGGGTTCCCCTGCTTAGTGACCGGACCAAAATGCCCGTTTTGAATCCTTTTAGATTGCACAATCATCACAGATTTAGAAGACTCAATTCCGACCCTAATATTCCACATGGACCTTGCTTGCACGCTATTTTTAAGATTGGCCACCCATCTAGTATTCCACCTCTACGAATGATACACACAACCATTCAAGAACTATCGATATGTCCATCCATGTCTATTCATAGCCTGAAACAACAGGGTCCCGTATATAGAACGGTTCTCCACTCATATCAAACAGCAATTGAGCAGGAGTAGAGCAACGAGAGGGAACCAGAATTGCATATACTCGGACGGTCCAGCGAGGGAGAACTTAGAAGTGGATCAGACACACATTGCTGGCGATGGGAGTTTTCTCTTCAAGTGGGATAGTATTTTTCAAGTACAAACTTCATTTTCATACCATCAGCCCTATTTTCTTCCTTCTTCCTGGCCATCTGAAAGACTTGCTTCGTCCTCAACATCTCAGGACCGAAGTACTTATCAAACACAACAGGCGACTTTTAGTGCTTGGACGAAGACATGGCTACTTCAAGTCCTTGGGAATGTATTGAGAATAAACTACCTACGCATTAGAATACAAGGGGAGTGTCCAAGCTCGTAAAATTCCACCCAATCGAGTCACATGATATCATTGAGAAAAAGAGAGAAAACAAGTAGTCGAGAAACGGGCAAAGAGCCGACGAGATAGCTTCCGCCCCCTCGAAAAGCCAAATCGCTAAGCAAATCAGAAGTCAAGTACTGTTCTACACAAGGTGAGTCACCTGGAGGTTCTGCACAGAGTCATTCACCTCATGCTCAGGCTGGGGAGGGTGATACAAACGCGGACCGACTAGGCAGCTGCAGTGCCATTGACGGGGGCTTGTTGGTAGTAAGCGTAGGGGTTGGGCTGCGGTGTGGGAGCCGCGGGGGGTTCAGGGGCGGGGGTAGCTTGGTTGGCGCTTGGAGGCGCTTGAGCTTGAGCTTGAGCCGCGGCGCCGGTCTTTGCATGGGCAACGGATGCTGGGCCATGGACTTCGCGATCCAGAGTCATGTACTCCTTCGCCGCGTCCTTGGTCCCTCGCTCAAGCAAGTAGACCATATAGATCTGGACAAGTTCTTTCACAGCATCTGGAGTAAGAGTACTCTTAGACCGGATGTCATCCATGACCTGCTTAATGCGCTCGTACTGGACATTCTCCACCTCCGAGCTTGTGGGCTGCTCCAACTCGAATGTAAGATAGCTCGTCCAGAATGGCCGGCTGTCAAGGTAGAACTGTTGGTTCTGTTGATACACCTGCCGGGCCTCCTCGGCAGAGCCCTTGATCTTCCATAGGAGTCGGGCCCATTCCGCAACCAGAGCCGCCTTGGTGGCCAAGTCACATTGCGGCGAGTCGAGCTGACTCTTGTACACCTCAATTGCGGCTTCGAGACCACCGTGACGGCGAGACATATTGGCCAGAGATACAATTGTTTCGACGTGATTGGGGAGATGAATGAGGATGGCGCCGTGGATTTCCTTGGCTACATCTACCCGTCCTGACATCTCCTCGAAGTAGGCATATTGAAGGCGAGTAGCTGGGTTAGCAATCGGCACATACAGATAGCTTGCGCGCTGGTAAATGTTCCGCACTTCCTCCTCCTTGCCGGGCTGTGCGGCCATCCAGCGGGCATAGCGTTGCCAAAACTCGTCGTAGTGGGCACACGTGACCAGACAGCGCTCATACAGGAACTGGGTACGTGGGTATGAACCCTCGGTCTCCTCAAAGTCCAGGTACTTTCTCCAGTTGGACAGCTGGCTCTCATCCAGTTCAGTCACATGGAAGTATGGACGCTTGATCTCGGACTCATATGTCCAACGCTTAGTGGTTTCCGTCTGTGTCTTGGAGAAGATTTCGAGATGGTAACTATCAACACGCAGTCTGATGTCCCTCTCGACCTCGGCCTCGGCCTTTGCGCCCGGAGCAACCTGTCCGGAAGCAGCATCAAGCTCCGCACGGAATTGAGACAGTGTCTCTGGAGGAGCTAGCTCTACGACCGGACGAGTCTGTGCGAGCTGCCTATAGCGCTCGAAGTAACGAGCATATTGATGCATTGGGATGTGGATGACACGGCCAAGAATGGCAAAGATCTTGTCAAAGGCTTCCACTCGCTCCTCAAACTCGATATACTTATCCCAGAATGGGTGTGCAAGGAAATCTAGACCAACACTGGTAGCTCCACGTTCAAATAGCCTACAAAATTAAAGACATGTTAGCAATTTGGGTTCGCCAGCCACGGGTATGGGGACGGGAGGGCGAGAGGCAAAGGGAGTTGGCAAGGATGGCAAACATGAGCATTTAATCTTCAGTGCGAGCCCAAACAATTGAACGACTAAGGTGAGCAAATTGTGAAAAACGTTTCCCCCGTCTGCATCGTGCGCAGAATAGGATCCACCGAACAGAGTCACTGGGCTTGATATCCGTGCAAGGAGTGATGCTTGGTCTGAAAGCAACAATGTTCAAGGGCAAGGAAACAGCCTGAGAATGTCATGGGTGAGAAGTAACTCCAGTTGAATCCGGGTCAGGCAAACATCTCACCCATCATTGAAGGGAACTGTTGTCAACGCTTTTTGCATTATGCGGTTTCGATACCACAATAATGTTCGTGCTGCCTTGGTAACGGTTACAGGGGGGAGGAAGGAAACCAGCTCTAATATACTTACTCTCGAATGACGTCGGCATCATGGGAAGTCTCTGCCTTGAAGGAGCAGTAGTTGGTCCAAAGGTCGACGGATGGAGAGATGCTGGCAACACCTCGTTCGTAAACCTACAGAATCAGCGATGAACACCCCCCAAGAAGGAGAGGAGAGCGATAGATAATCCATACCATATCTGCTGCCTCCGTTCCGGTAATAGAGAATTCCAGGTCGGCATATTTCTTCCAGTATCCGAATAGTAGTGGAAACTTGGCGAGGAATCGGTCGTAGACATTCCGGACGGTGGTGATAGCTTGAGGGTTGGAGTTGCGGTTAATTCCTCCTTCAAGCGCCTCACCAGCGCGAACTAGTCGTTCCCAGGTCTCGAAGTTATCCGGGTCATCGACCTATATTTGTAACAGAATGTAAGTCATGCGCCGCATAGGTCCAGAACAGGGAATAGACGTATCATACCAACTCGACCTCAAGCTTCCTCAACTCCGCATTTTCCTCCTCGGAGCCTCCATAGTTGTAATCCGCCATGATGGCAGTCAGTCGTGGACTAATTACGGCGCTTAATGATGCGCAGGGTATAGAATCGCACTCAGCGATGAGAAATAGCGATCACGGTGCAAATAGAAAAGGACAACACAAACAAGACAGGCAGCGACAGGAGAATAGACGTTAGGTTCCGCAAGGGAAGAGATCAAAACTCTCCAGCCACACCCGCGCCCTTTTTTACTTTTGCCGAGCCTCACCCAAAACTGGCTTAGCGCGCATTTCAATTTCTCCAACTTGGACGAGCATCTGGAAGCACTCCCCGTGATCAAATCAACGAGAACCCATTCTCACCCTCTGACCCGATCGGAATTTTGTCTCGCCCCGGAAACGAGCAGGTGCGACAAACCCTTCCACTATGTCGACCACCCAAGCAGCTGGCAGCTTGGTGAGCAAGCTTCCTCAACGACTACGCAACTTCTTTGCCCGCTATCCTCCGCAAATCTATTCCGCGGCCGTGGCACCACGCCCAGAGCCCACAGGAGAGGTCAATGCAGAGTCTCTGCCATCGCCCTACACACCCAACAGAGACGCGAAAGGCCACAAGCGGCCAGACCCCACCGAGTCCTCTCCGTCCCGATCTCTTCTTTACTCCGACCCAGATCATCCCAACCCATTCTTGCCTCGCAAGAACTTCCGCACGGGCAAATGGATTGGCCCCCGATATGGACTTCGGACACAGGCCGATCTGGTGAATCTGGCCAAAAAGTACAACGTTGAGGCTCTACTACCTCCAGGCCGCAAATCCACCGAGTTTAAGGAGACGAGAAGGGAAGAGCGCGGATTACAGATCAAGGGTACCGGTATTGGACAGAAGGTCAAGGGTCACAAGTGGGAGCGGACGATGGAGTCTCGCTTGGAGGAGAGACGCAAAGCTATGATGGAGATGCCGGAGATGATTCGTTTGTGGAAGCAGGTGAGTTTTCAATTTGGACGGGACAGGTTTCCTCAGACGCTGACGTTTTGGCTCGCAGAGAGGTCACGGTCGTGGCTGGAAACAATGGCCCAAGAGGTAAATGCATTCTTGGATACCATTTTCGCTACTGTGAGATTTTATGTAATGTTATATCTTTTGCCGGTCCTCAGATCGCACGGCTCCATTGATCATTGTCGGGGTTTGGACGGGAGTTCTTGTTCTCATATATGTACAAATAGATATTCATTAAACTTACACATTGAACGTAGACGCACTGTCCATCTTTCGATAAATGATGCTAGCTACTATGTTTTTCTTGATGGACTATTCTCTATCGGGAGAGCAAAGACTTTAAGAGTGATGTATTAATCCTTTACGTACGACTAATTTAAGAAATCTGCGGCGTCACAACATCCCCTACCATAACTGTGCAAGATTTAGGGTTGCCAGCATCCTGCAAAAGCTCCATTTTAGATAGAGAAGCGTGCCTTCCAAACACGATCTTACTGTTGATCTTCCTAGTCTTCACCAGTGTCGAATAAGGCTCCTCTCGACGGGTGCCAGTATAAGGGTCAACGCAGACCATCTGACACCGTTGACATGATCCGAGCACATCAAAGTCCAACTGTTCCGGTCCAACAGAGAATGACTCCCAAGTGTCTTCTATATATGGACGCTCGGCGTTAGCTAGCCGGTGAAGATTCTCGGCGACCACAATGTTGGCGCGGAAAACATCGGCTTCTACGGCCCTTGCTGGAGTGCTGTGGCTGGGTCTAGGGCTGTACTTGATGTTTTCGTTCAGGCGATTGACTGACGAGCGAGAAATGAGGAGGATTGGGCTCTCGTTGGATAGGAGTATAGGTGGTTGTTCAGGCGTCGGTGATGGGTCTTCTGGGAAAGAGCCAGGCATGAGGGCTCTCTGGCTTCTTCTAGACGAACGAGTGGGATTTGAAATCCTAGTGGAGATTTGTGGCGGGAACCTTGCAAGTGTACACGGTACACCAAGGAAGTTAGAGAAGAAAGAGGCTACTGCAGGTGAGGAATATGCCTGGACGACCACTCGGTCACCACAGACGTTAGAGGATTTCGCGCTCTGACACAGCGAGGTGGTAACTAGATTAGTGATTTCGCGGCGGAGAGAGACCTCCAGCTCTTTTGGGTCCGACCCGCAGGTAATACGAAGGACACCACGCTCCAGGTCGATGACCGGCCGTATCAGCGCCATGCGGGGATATTTCTTCATACTGAGAGCGGCGCCAGTACCTTGATGGATAAGACACCATTCTCGATCCCATGCGAGGCCTTCTCTTTTGATCTCCCAGCGTTGATCATCGGGAACCTTGAACGCTCCACAGCTCTTGATCGGATACACTGAAAGGCTCTCCACGTAGAAGCTGGGCTCTTGCAAGCTAACTTCCATCGGTGGAACCAGAGATATACATTCCGGCGCCTTTTCGATGTAAAACTCGTCAATGAACCTCGTGAATGTGTCAATATCTCTGAGGTTGGAGACCGCACCGAGACTGACTCTTAAGATGCCAGTCGGCCTCCCATCCATGACGTCGTGATCATCACCACAGCGCAGTCCAGCGGAGAAGTTACGGAGCAATTCAGGCCCGGTCCAGCCAAGGCTAGTTGCCGTTCCTCCCGGGTTGCAGTGAGATCCTGACCGGATATGTATCTTCTTGACATTCGCGAGCCTCTCAACTTCAGACTTTCCAACCCACGCACCAGAGCTATTCCGTATGTTGAACGCAATGATCGGCCCTTGCGTGAGATTGTCAAAGTCTGATTCTGGGGACATATACAAATGACAAACTTTCTTCCCATTGAAATGGGTCATCGTGGCCAACCGGTTGTGTAGCCGCTTTGCCAGGTAGCGTGTGTGGGACGAGACATTGCCCATCGATCCAAAAAGACGTTCATGTGCAGACAACGCAGAATCAAGCGCAATAATATTATGGAACGGCAAAGTACCATCCTCTAAGCGCTCGTGGATCGTGGATTTCTTTGCATGCCATGGTGTTCCTTGGGCCAGAACCATATCAACTGTCCCGCCGCCGAAGAACTTGCGTTTCGCAATAATGCCTGCCGCACTTTTGCGCACGATCAGGCGCCGAGATCGGGAAATCCGAAAATTTTATAGAAACTGAGCGCTGTAAAATCAGGCGCAGCAGATGCATCACTCAGGTCCAAGGGTGAAGTGGAAACGAGCGATGCAGCATCAAGCAGGGTATAAACATTTGCCGCGTTTGAACTCCCATCCCGTATCTTCTTACACCACTGCATAGGACAGCGACGACCGTTCAAATTGGACTGCCCAGGGTATGCAAATAGCCTGGGGAAGTTCTTTTGATCGGTAACCAACTCCGATATCCATTGCTCAACCTCACCACCGGTCAGGAAGCATCTATGCCCCTTTTCCGCAATCTCCCGCGCTCCTACCAGGCTCGTATGCGCATCTATAAAGTATCCATACCAAAACCCCTGTGGCGATGAGTCCCGGAACACATCCGCCACTAACTTAATGGCAGCTGTAGCATTCGCTACGAATACGAGATCAAACTCATCCGGGTCCGCATTAAAAAAGCGAAGTGCCCTGAGGCGGATATCATCTATGCGCTGTGTAGACAGCTGGGATGATGCAGATCGAGAATGAGGATTGCCGAAAAGGTTCGAAGTCAGGTCGCGTGCGAAGGAGTCGATCAACGACTTGGGATACAACGTTGTGCCGGCATGGTCTAAGTAAGTCGTATCTTGATACCAATGTTAGCACAGTCCTAGATATGCCTCCGACTTCTAGAGTTCTGTCGCAGAGGCCCACCTTTGAGGAAGGGATACTCCCGCTCTCGGATGACGTCCACGTCCTCCGAGTACCCGGTACAGTATTCGGCACGGTTCTCGGTTTTGCTTTTGGCTTGCATGTTTTCACACAGTGATAATGTCAAAGATATTTGAGCAGTGCCAGTGTCTCTTGCCAGCAGCAAGCGGTCTTTATAAATACCCGAGTTGAGGAAGAAATGTGCCGGTAGGGCGTAAGGATCAGTGGCGACAGGTGACCTTGGGAGGGATAGAACGTTGGGCCTGGCCAATCGTCATTCGAACTCTTGGAGAAAACATCAGGCGTGATAGCCGTAGATGCTGATGATGCAATGTGATCCAGGTGCTATGAGTGTAACTTGGTCTAGAGATCGTGATATGTCGTGGATTAGCGGTGGATTGGCAGGAGGCGGAGGTGCTGATACGTGCATGGAAGTCGCCATCGGAGGTCACCGAGGTAGAACTCCTCGGTCCCAATTTTGGTCTCTCGTCGCAGCAATGAGGAGCTGACAATTCGGGGTGTCAGATAGAGGGGCATGTAACCCTAGAACCTGCATCACGCTGGATTCAGAGTAGGATGAGGATTTCAACCAGCAGTCACATTGATGGAGAGAAGAGATGTGATGGGATTTCAGCTGCCCCACTGTTCATGGGGCCCTTATCGGTCGCGGGGCGATCGGAAACCACCGACTCCAGGAACGTAGATTGGAGGAATACCCGCCACGCTAACGGGAACTATATACTTCTATCACAATCCAGTCACCCTGCTTGAGGCTGCCTGAGTAGTTCGTCCCTAAATGAACTATACTCTACATGCTCACGAGCTAATGTAGGGATCTTCCTGGTAATCCACATGTGCTACCTGAAAATCCCATTCCAGACCAATCGATATATACTCGGGTACCTAGTCGTCTGGCTGACGGCCTAGTGCTTAGCTGAAAGCATGCTCTGAATTATGTTTGAAAGGTCAATTAGATAAAAATCTTGAGTCATAATATCACAAGGAAAGAAAAGGCTGTGCAAAATCAGGCTGAATCTGGTTGAGCCTGTGGGACGTCTGGCCCCAAAGCAGCGTATACAGAGCATCACAGGGTCAAAGAAGAGCACCCGACACGGGCGAACGCCGCTATGGAGTCCAAAATTCAATAAACAGAAAGCGTGTTGTCTTCCAAATAGTATCGTAATCATCACATCACTGTCACATCTCGTAGTTTCATTACCAACCTTTGTCTCTCTCCCGATGGGGGCGTTGTTTCATTTTCCGTTTTTCCCTTTTTTTTTCTCCTTTTTCTTTTTCTGTTTTCTCCGATTTTTTTCCTTTAGTGCTTTCCGCTTCCCATTATCTATGTCATCCAAGTCGTATCCGTAAATCATAAACTGCCTGAGGAAAGTAATGAGGAAAGATAGGTGAAATGGAGGAAATAAGATTAGACCACATATTGCGGCCGGCGATGGCTGGAGCTCCGACGGTGTCCATGTCCACGCCGACTGCTGTGACTTCTCCTCCGAATTGTCGTTGTCTCCTTAACAACCACATCAGACCGGGTGTGCATAAAAAGCGCCCAAAAGGCGGTCCAGAAGAAGAACACAACTTCCATGATGCCCAGCGCAAAGCAGGTCTTCAACATCGCACAATGTTTGTTGACCTGAAGGGCCAACGGGTTGCCTGTGCGGTAACCATAGGCTCCAAAGGGGCCAAGGGAGACCCACACAGAGCCCCCATCCCAATGGGAGCAGTTGGCATTTGCGATGAAGCGCAGTTGGTAGACCCCTGCAATGAAAGCGCCGAAGAAGAGGAGGTCAACAAAAGCGACAAAGGCGGCTGAGCGCTTAGTGGTCGCATGACGGATTAATGTGTCAAAGCACCAGAAGACTGCGATAGTGCTGACGATGAAAAGTACGAGGATGTAGGTCGGGGTGATCACATTGGCCTTCAGATATCCGTCGATAAAGTAAGCCTGTTTGAATGTTAGAATCTAGGCCCATGCCAGTGAAAAGAGGCGGGTGCGCCTGGTATGTCAGCCTTACCAGCATTCCAATGATTGGTATCAGGAAAATAATCTCCACGAGGCGATTGCAAATGAAGAAAAAACTGCCGATCATCTTGGTAGCCTTTCCACACGACGATCGTCGATGCTAGCTTATAACAAGAACGAAATTTGAATAGTGATACTCGATGTTGATGTAAGAAGAATCTTGAATGGTCGTAGCTGAGTAGCTATAGCGTCATCCAGATGTGATGAATAGGTTCTCGTATAATGGGCCGGAGATTGAAATGGGGACCTGGCGTTGACCGGGAGATGGACCGTATGGTTTTCAACTCGCCAGCTCAATCGCACGAGGCAAGACAGAGCCAGATTCTATGCAGAGACAATTATGCAGGGTTCAGAGTAAGGGGGCTTAATGGAAGGAAAATAAGAAGAAAAGTAATGCAAGTTGGGGTCATAGTCGAATGAGGGTGGCTGGTAAAATGCGACTGCGGGGTGGCTGGGAAACGGGAACATTGCGCCCAACAAACGGTAAAACGGTGGAGTAGTACCCTAGAAAACATGACTTTGAAACGATTAGTGCGACCTCGTACAAATTCTGGTCAATAAGAAATAACAACATTGCCCATAGTCCTCGTGGTGCATCTGCGAGCAAGCACTCGCTCGGCATTGTTTGTTTGGGACGTGGGGCGGCCACGAGGTTCTAGAGCCATGGTTGATGACCTAGCTTATCTATCGCTTATTGTTATCGCATTTTAAAACTATCAAGTAGACAGGTGACCGGGAAAAAGAATGTATCGTGCCAAACGCTATTATTCATACATGTTCATGCGGTATCACAGAAGATGACAATACAAATCAGTTGCGATGTCTAGAAATCAGAATATCTTTTCCTGGGTATTTATACCAGCCAAGCTCCGAGAAGTATCCAACTATGGTCATAACCCAACCCCAGAGAGTTGTGAAAATTTCGTAAATACTCTTAAATTCCCCTCACATTATTCAAACGAAAGTCATGATGTTCGTGGCACTGGCTGCAAGCCAGAATGTTTTTTTCAAGGTTCATCTCAAAATGCTCGCGGTGGTACGTCCGTCAATTCCCGTTCGCCGCCAGAGCGAACAGTCGTTACCGGTGGTGGATAAGACGCACTGACACCTGTAACTTGGGGTTGCATCTGGGAGTGATACGACGTATCCGTCTCGTAGCGAGGAAGATGTCCGCCGTTTGTCGGATTTTGTGTCTGAGCGTAGCCATGTTGCATTTCATATCCATCTGCAACATCTTCACTTGAAGACGACCAATGTCCGTCATCATCACGACTATACATATTCGTGGCATATGGGTTGCTAGCTGGAGGCATATACCTTGAGGCGCGTAATTGAGTGGGGTCTCTAGTGTCAGGTACGCCGGATGCATCAAGCCTCTCCTCCTCGGGATTCCGTAGAGCGACAGTGCTTTCGTTAGTGGCCACAAGAGGGGCAGTATCGCTTGGGGCGACCGGGTCTCTACCCCAAGACCGAATCGGATAAGCTCGCCCCTTTTTCCAAGGCTCTGTGATCGAGGGGAAGTACTGGCGGTATGCGATATAGGCACAGACAATGCCCAGAAGCGAGCCAGTAATCACATCAAAGGGATGGTGCCTCGCGTCCATAATCCGACTCACTGCGATAAGAGTGGCACCAATAGAAGGAATAATGATTATTATCGCCTTCCATACCTCACCGCGGTTGTCCATGAAATGCAGCTTCCCGCAAAGCCACAGTGTCAGATAAAACAGTCCGGCAAAGGAAGCTAAAACGATGTCAGTAAAAGATCACCTCCAAATATAGAGGGTTGCTCACAGCTGCTGTGTCCTACAAACGAATTAGCATCCAAAAAATAAGGTCATATTCCAAAAGATACGATCATACCTGAAGGCCAAGAACGAAAGCCATCCTTGATGATCGCCGGATCACCCGTACAGATTGTGTAATTTGACAAGCCACGGAATGGATCCTCACTTCCTGCTCGGGGTTGGCATCGATCGATGATATCTGGTCTGGGTTTGCCGCAAGCATTTTTGAGAACTTGGGTTATGAGAAACGCAAGACCTTGGGACAGTAGAAGGCCAAGAAATCCGCAATTGAATTCCCATAGTCGGTCCTTAAACCGGTATGGGCCTGTCAGCTTCCTTTTTCCAGAAGTTGGGTCAACAGGCTTGTGATGAGAAAACAACCCATCGATCAAGAGCGTATAGACCGCAATTATAATCAAAGGACCCACGCCGGAGATACAAAGGGCGAGTGGGATGGACACGCGCTCATGGACAGCGTAAGGGTACATAAGGGATATATTGTTCAAGGAGAAAGGCTGATGATAAGGCTCGAGAGAGTCGATGATGTAAAACCCGGCAATACATGCGCTGCAATCGTGACATTATCTCGTTAGCATGACCTCGGAGGTGTCTAACAGCCGGTCTGGGGTGCACGAACATGAGGATTACATAGTCAAGGATGTATCTGCAAATGCCAAATCATGGTTAGCAACACGCGCAGGATATTCATGAAGCATAATTAGACCGAGACCCACGAGATAATAATGCGCGGCCTTAGCCGCCGCTTTGAGAACGGCAGTTTGGAGGGAAGGTGGCCCATTGTGGTGGAGATTCGTTGGGATCAAAGATAATCATGAATTTCCACAGAGGAGTCCTGAGAATCAGAGTTTTGTCAGCTACTCTGTACAGCCAGAGACAGTGACTCGTTATAGCTGCGGTGAACACACCTGAGATGCTAGGCAGCTTTAGCGCTGCACACCAGGAGGATAATTCCAGGTAACCGTGATCCTGCGCGGTGACAGCCGGATAATCAATGAAGGAATGTAGCCCCCAAATGAGGTGAGAGTTCATGTAAGCACAAAAGAAGAAAAGAAGAAGTTCAAAGAAACGAAAATCTGGATACAAGGAAGAAGACAAAAGGGTCATGTTAAGTTGGTCGCGGATTTACCTCAATTGGGTGCCGCCTAAGGCAACAGGCAAGTGAAGTGGCTTGGATGGGCTTAGACCTCTTTCACTTGTGGGCACGCGAGTTAAATTAGAGGCCGAGAAGCGCCCAGACTCGCGGCCCCAAACTATACTAAACCACAAAATGGAAACCACTGCAGATCCACACCCAGGACCCTGAGCAGAACACAGTGGAATATTCATGCCATGCTATTTTTTTTAAATGAAGAGAAATGGTGTGGATACACTCTATATTCCCCCCCCCCCCCCCCATAGGCAGCTAAATTCGCAGGTCATGTATTGGTTCGTGTATTGATTCACTTAGTACCTTGCCATGTTGCCTGGTCGCGAAAGCTTGCGTAAAGAATAATGGCTCGTCTGTTGATCTCCATAATTACCCACTTGGGAGGTTTCACCGGTTGTCAGCAAATTGGGTTTTTCCCCCTCTGGGAACTCAAAAAGGGAAGCAATGCTTATTAAAGTCTTAGTATCATGCCGTAACTTTGTTGACCTCACGATTGACTTCACCGAGAAGATTTTTACTCACGACACGGTCGCTCTTGGTACCACCAGTTTATTTTCCTGCAAAATAGAATATAAGAGGAGGATTATATTCGAGTAAATAAGCCCTTGAGCATTGTAATATACACTTCAAGAACAACCACAAAAGTTAAAGAAATTTTTGCCCATTCGAAAACCGCATTAGAATATCTGTCCAGCCTGACCACTGAAAGGAAACAACCTTGCTGAAATATAAAAAGAATATTTTCGAATGATTAAACACAATGAGTCCGTGAATCATGTTCGCATTATGTCAGACTGTTAACTCTAGTCCGCTTACTCTAGCAGACAGTGATGTACAGACCGAGACTAGAATATATTTGTTAGCCATTACCTCTGTTGGACCAATAATGCAGGCAAACTTACGGGGATGGGTTGTAGTCCTCAAAGAAATTCAGTTCGGTGCTGCCAGAGTTCTTCATTTCGTAGCCGACGGCCTGGCCAGCCGGGCACTCAAAGGTGGAGATGAGGTAGGAATTACCGGGAGAGATAGTAAAGTCCCCATAGTCTTCCTTCACTGCCGGGGCGTTGTTGTAGGTGGTAGACTGGGTGGCAGCGGATTGGAGGGAAGAGAAGTCAACCTTGCCGTCGCCGCTGAAGGAGTAAGACGAGGTCTCAAGATCTTCCTTCTTGGGGAAGAGGAAGACAAGGCTGCACGTCTTTCCAGCGTCAGAGGAGGGGATGTCAAAATTGAAAATGGTCGAGACGGTGGACGAGATGGTGCCATTGAAAGACGTGCCAGCAGCCGTATCGGGTGAGGTAGAGTCGATAGGGATGATCAAGTGAGGATATTCATATTCGCCAGAGAGATCCATGGGGCAACTCCCACCCGCAGTGGAAGTACCAGACGGCTGAGCACTAGTCACAGTCTGGGAGGGCTGGCCACTCGAAGTTCCAGGGACACCAGGGGTGCCAGATGTGCCAGGAATGACCGGAACACTAGATGTGCCAGGGACACCGGGAGTACCAGACGTTCCAGGAACACCAGAGGTACCGGGAACTCCGGGAACTCCGGGGGTAGCAGAAGTTCCAGGAACACCTGGAGTGCCCGGAGTACCAGGAGTGCCCGGGGTGCCGGGAATACCAGGCACAGTCGATGACTCGGGGCAGTAAGTCGAGGTCACAGTCGTGTGAATGGTGACAACAGATCCACTGGATCCAGGAACCGGGGCGCTAGATGATGGACCAGGCACAACAGGTACAGAAGTACTAGATGATGAGCCAGGGATAGGAGTGCTAGAGCCAGGGACGGCGACTGAGCTAGAGCTAGAAGCAGAGCTAGAGCAAGAATCGGCAGACAACTTGATATCCTGGCATCCAGTCACATCAGAGCTCTCTGTGGTATAGATATTCAACCCGCCATTCTGGCCAGTCGCGCATGCAACGAAATCCGCATCACCATTGTACGAGACTTGGCCCTGAGAGTCGATAGACCAACCAGTCACGGGAGTGGCCCCTTCATCGCACTGGAATTGTGTAGTTGGACCTACAGGACTTGTTAGTTGATCAAGAGTATTATCAAGGCTTGCGAAGTCTTTCCGTACCAGTAATAATGCATCCACGACCGTTTCCATCAGTGAGAGCACCATTGGAGTCGATACAGAACTCTGCTTCCCCCAGTCCACCATGGATGCGGTTCTGTCCGTCATCAAGCTGTCCGACAGTCCCAGAAGCGCCTCCGGATGCAGTCAGGTGAAAGCAACAACTGTTACTCCTGCCAATAAGGGCATTCGCACCAGCAGCGAACGCCGCAACGGTAGCGAAGTTCTTCATAGTAAGATAAGCGAATGAAGCCACTTTGTGAAAACGAATGGAGCAGTCAAGTCTTAGTAAAGACCGTCTTGAGATTATTGAGATTGAGTTGAGAAGTATAAACAAAAGCAGGGTAAGCCATATTTATAAAGAAAGGTGGACACGTCAAGAAACGTCATAAAAGGTCCGGTATACCGGACGAAGTAAGTGAGTCGAATCTAAGGCTACCAGCTCCACATGTAGATCGAATAAATAGAAACAGATATGGCCAGTCACAATGCATAATGCAGAAGTACTGAACCATGGACAGGTGGGATGGAGGCGCAATTGACTGGATAAACAAGCTGACAACTGTCCGGCGAAGCCGGTCAGGCCTGGAAGCTCCGGAATTGCAAGGAAATGATGACGACGTCATACAGAGAAAAATCGCCGTGGAGAAGCATTCCCATAGAGGAAACAATCTGAGCGTTGGCTATGAGATCCAAGCCATATCAGTGGCCAAAAGCAGTGTAGAACAATGGGCCCACGGTGGATCCAGCCCCATCGGACGCCATGCCCTGATCTATGACCACAATTACATGGTTCAAAAAAGGCACTCGTAGCAACCCAAGTGGCAATAGTCCACCATCCACGGTACAGCTTTCATTTTGACCAAACACAGGCTCAAGATATCTGGAGGCCACCATGGATCGCCGATTCTATTCATAACTACCACAACTGACTAAGGCACTCTACTGCGTAGACGGAATGGACATCCCGATCAAAAACGTACCGAACTTTATAACGCCTCCAGAGACGAGATGGAGGATATTCCCGGTGTCCCTCAAGACCTTGCATCATGATGTTGTTGTTGACCATGGGTTCTTACACTACATACTGTGAAGCGTGAGAGGCCTCTGTCGGTTGTGGTTAACTCGGTCCATCAGCCGTCGCCAACAGCATGGATACTAACTCTGAACAGTGCGTGTAAGTCCTTTTCATGGTGGATTAAACAAAGGGTATCAAGTTTGAAGAACGAAGAGTGGACTGAAGTGGAATGGGGAAACTATTTCCCCGGATAGAACAAAGTGGGGCGTGGCGTCACACTCAGCGAATGGTAATACATCTTCTTGTTGGCTATTCCTCTTTCGAGCTAGCCAGTCATCATCCAAATGTGACCGATATCGATGGTCAACTAAACGGCTCAGTCCCTGTCAATGGGGAAGGTCTTAACGTCGATCAGGCTCGCCACGTAATGTCGGATTGTTGATTCCCTAGGATATCATTCTCGCTAGGCAACCTGCCAACTAGTCATGAACATTATGCAATCATTGCCTCAGACAACTATCACCACCCTCGTGTATATATAGAACCACGGCTGAAAGTAGCCCAAACCAGTCATATTGTTGAATTGCCCAGGCATCTTGTTGTACACAGTATGTGCTCTCACCCTGCAGGCTTTTCCCCCGATGGGTGGACGACCTTGGTTCGGATTTACTCCACATAGAATCCATGCCTCTTGGTACTATGGAACAGCCCCGTTCTGTTTTTCTAGCGTCCAGGCGTTCCCTATATTCCCTTTAGAGGATACATGGCCCAGGAACCCATTCTTTACTCAACACATCTGAAACATCTATCTGAAAACTCTTCATTCGATAAGCAGTACGATTGGCTACTTGGGCTTCTGTCCGTTAGATTCAACTACCCTGAACAGCGCGCCGTTAATTCTTATTTCCATCATACCAATGAACTAAGAAGCGTACTAGCTGGAAATCCCCCGCCGTCATCGACAGTGGCGTGCATTAGACTTCCCTCCAGTCGAGACAAGCATCTCAAGAAATGTAAACTTGCCGTCAGCCTAGACAGCCAAGACAGTCATGGCCCCAGCAGAAGCGGCATGGTGTGGCTCTTGCATTTCAAGGCAGCGAATGCCGGTCAGTCGTCGAGACTTCTCTTCGTCGGACTTTTTGTCTTCTCTGCGGCTGTGCGGGACCCCAACATGCTAGGGGAGCAGGGCTCTGCATATGCGTGCGTAATCAGGGACGTGCTAGGGCTACTTCTCCAAAACTCAACTCCGTTGGTACGCCATCACACGCCACATATGGACTAATTGGGAGAGAACACAGTGCCTCGTATTGTGTTCCTAACTCATCAAGCGAGAACTCAATAGGCGAAACCCACCAGTCTCAAATCAAGTGTCATACATCACATCAAAACCCTTGCATTTCAGTTTCCCAAGACATTAATCTATTCGGTAGAATATGTCCATCCTACGTAGTGTAAGGGAGGTGTTCCCTATGTCTCTAAAGGTGAACCCAATGAAAAAAAAAGAAGAAGAAGAAGAACAGGCACTGGGGTTCTCTATATCAATTTCGTACTCCACTGGGGTAAGAAAATGTCGCAGTATAGCACATTTTGTTCATATATAATTATAGTCGATGCACATACGAAGTTATGGCAGCTTCAGACCTATCAAGGTCTGAAGACCGTCGAGTGTAAACATTTTCCAGTATGGCAAGCCGTGTGACAATACCACTGTTCCTGTGTTCTGATATGGCAGTCCTCGTATAGATATTGAAGCACCTAGTCTGTCTGTTGGACAGTTTGGTCAATCAATAAGATTTTCTTTTCTTTTCTTTTCTTTGCTTTTGTCATGGTTTCTCACCTGTTTGGTCACTCCGCATAAGAAACTTTCTGCGAGTAGATTTATATGCTGGGGTCAGATATATATTTTTAGCTTCAACTAAGTTTACGGATCCACAAAATTATGAACAATTGTCTGAATTATATAACGACGCACTTGGCAAAACTTTTACAACAAATAAGAAACGAGAGGCAGAAAAAAGTGAAGATAATAAAAAAAACTAAGAAATCTAGAGACCACTGTTCATTTGCCGTGCGGTTCTTTAGTGTATCACACTTGAATGATCCCCAAAGCAACTAACTATTTTTTATGTTAATGATGGATTTTACTGTTATGTTGAGGGTGAAACGAAAACCACACTTCATTTGTTCCACACCACCACTGTCTGTAAGTACTCGATTGAGCCCAATACCTCCAGTAATGACATCGAAAGAAGAGGAGTCAGAGAGCCCCCAATTTTATATTGGAACTTATTTAATGGGTATACCATTGAAAAGGTACGCCCATCTGGCCAAGTACCCTTCGAAAAGGGCCGATGGCAAGTATAATTCCGTTACTACGGGTCTTGAAACGTAGATGGGGAGCGCTTAAATACAAGTGAATAAGGGTATCTGTTCTATTGTCTTCATAACTAAGTCATCCGAGCAGCTCGGAATCTGCTCACCCGCTTCGGAGGGTCTTCGGTTTCGATAGGCACCGTTTCCGGCTCCTCCCCAACGAAGCCGCCGTTTTGCTGGATCATCCTGTTTCGTATCCGATAAAACTCGCTTGCAATCTCCTTCCTGTGTATCTGCTCATCAATTTCATCTAGCTCAGGCGGCATGGCGGCGCCTTGAGAAACCTCGTGCTCAACGAGTGTGTCGGCTAAGATCTTCCCCTCCGGGCCTCGGGGCGCTTCTGTGATATCTGAGATCGGCTGAGAGAAGGGTTTTGGTTCAGATGGCTTAGCAGGGAACAAAGGCAATGTAGGGGATGGTGACGTGATCGGTTTGCGGAGTGAAGAGCGTGCCTCGGTAGGTCGAATACTGTTCTCACTGCCGGTAGTGCTTCGAGCACTCTTGAAGCGAGACGTCTTCTTTGGAACATCATTCGTGATGGGGTCCTTCACAGTTGATTGTGTACGCTCGACAACCGCATCTGAAAGGACAGGTACATCCGATTGCCGAGGCGCGACAGCCTTCTTCTCCACAATTGGGGGCTTAGGGGCTGGAGCAATATCAAGATCATCGGCGAAAGCGACTTTCTTTTTTGGCTTCTTCTCTGGAGCTGGTTCATTCACGGTCTCGGTGCTCTTCTCAATCCGGACCATACTGGGCTGCTCAAGTTCTTTCTGGACTTCCACGGGCAGCGAGCCTGTGTCTTTGCCCATATTCCACATTCCTCGAGCATTTAACTTGGCTTCTAGCTCACGCATCTGTTGATGATAATCCTCGCTCAGAACAGTCCGGGTACTCCGTCCGTACTCATCTTCCTCCTCATCTTCGTCGTCATACGCGAAAGCATCGTAGTCATCATCTATGGATATGTCACTTGCATCTTCGTCCAGTTCAAGCTCAGCCACAACAGCTCCAACTTCATTGAGTTGGTACTGCAGCATCTCACGGCGTAACTTGGCATCCTCGGGAGATTCATCGATATCCGTAACAGGCAGCTCCTCCTGCTTTTCAGTCGCCAAGTCGGACGCCGCCGGCTTCTCTTCAGAATAAGCCACGGAGCTTCCGTTGGTCTCTCGTAAGCTGGGCTTCTCCGAGATATCTCCATGTTCTTTGTCTGCTGAGCTGGACCCATCCTTCGCTTTGTATCCGGGCTGCGCATTTGTGTTCGGGGCGTCGGGGACATCATTCACGCCTGCCTTCTTGAGAAGCTCCAAGAGCTCTGGCGCCTGATCTCCGGGCGTCGCAGTTGAGCTCGAGATCACATTGCCATCCTCATCGAGTTCCTCAACAATCTCCGTCATGGGAAAGTCCGAGGTGGGTTCGGTTGGTAATTGCTCAGCAGAGTCAAATGCGTGTAGTTGGTTCTCTACCGAACGTAGTCGCTTTTCCATAGTCGTAACGTTCTGTTTCACGTAGTCGACTCGCCTCGACACCAGATCAATGACCTGTTGTTTGGTCCTGGCCACGCCTTGTTTCTCTCCGAGTATCACCTTGACTTCATCTTCGGTGACCAGCGATCCACCAAAGTCGCGGCCTATTCGAAGGAAGTCATCCATTGTGGCATCGTCATCGAGCTCGCTTATTTCGTCCTTCAAGGCATCGTACTCGGCCTCCCAGGTTCTCCAATGATAAAGAGATTCCTGTAGTTTCAAGATGTTGCCCTCGAGCTCGAGGCGTTGACGCTCAAGGTCTTGTAAATTGCTACCGGGAACACCCATCTTGGGCACTCAGTCGCGGGTGGTGATATAAAAATTTACAGGTACCAAAACCAAGCAAAGGGGCATAGAGAAGAAAAAAAATATGTAGAAGGGGAGAGAAATGGAATCGCCGCGGGGGCAAAGAAAAAAGTTCCGCCGCGCGGAACGGTCACCGGAGCTTTTGATTGGTCCGTGCGAGCAGCTGGATTTAGGTACATTGGAACCAAACGCCCAAAGGTCTCGACATCACTGTCACCATTCTTGTAATTCAGCACCATCCAACAATATGGCGCCCTCTCGCGAGTCGATACAGAACCGTGGGGATGAGGACGGTATGTTTTGGACTGTCAGTTCCCAAGGGACTCCTACGCTAATATCTTTTCAGAGGTCTGCCCCGTCTGCAAATCCTCGCGGTACTTGAATCCGGACATGCAATTCCTCATCAATCCAGAATGTTATCACAAGATGTGTGAATCATGCGTGGATCGTATTTTCTCTTCGGGTCCCGCCAACTGTCCTGTAGCCGGGTGCCACAAGACCTTACGAAAGAATCGATTTCGAAAACAGACGTTCGAAGATATAAACGTAGAACGGGAGGTTGATATACGGCGCAGAGTCATGCAAATGTATGTTGGTATACACTATTCTGCACATGGTAGGAAATTGAAATATCTAACGGTTACAGTCTCAACCGTCGCGAAGAGGAATTTGACTCGAAGCGAGCCTGGGATGACTTTCTCGAACAACGCGAGGAGATCATCGCGAATCTTGTCCATGGCACCGACGTAGCCAAAACCGAAGCCGATCTCCAGAGATATGCACAAGAGAATATGCGCTCTATCCGCGCCAACCAAGCCTTGGAGGCTCAGGAAGCTTCTTCTTTCCAGGCAAGACAGACTCAAGAGCAGGAGTTGGCCCGTCTCCGCAGGGAGGCGGTAAGACAGGAGTACGAGAATGAGCGCCGGGAGCTTCTTGCTGGACGAGAAGATGTTCTCAGTCGTCTTGCCGCTGGACGCCCAGCAGATGCTGCCACTATTGCACGCGAAGGCCAGAAAGTCCTACTCAAAAAGTCGTCTGCTAGACGAAGTGAAGAGGACCGTATTCGACAGAAGCAAGCTGCCCTACGTAACTCGGATGCTAGAAAGGCTGGACAAGCTGGGATTACAGCAACCGATAAGGCTGGTGATGCCGGTGATACTGGTCTTATTAAGGGCCTCAAGAGAATCCAGACACCGGAGCCTGAGAAGCCTTACGATCCATTCGGTGGACTAATTCCGGACAAACGGGACTATTTCACCTTGCGAGACTTCTACCCATCCAGTTACCTTGACCCTATTAGACAAGATACTCGTATGCAGGCTGGCGGATATGATCTTAAAGAGTACTATTCGCGCACACTGCTCGAGGCATTCGCAGGGCTAGGATGCTTCATCGATGAAGAGGTATCAGAACGGGAAGTGGCTAATACGAATGCAGTTGCAACAGAAGGTGCCGCCATGGCTGCGGCTTCGAGCGGCCCTGCAGGCAATGTGTAATTTGCCCAGAATCTTAGTGGAGAGGTTGGTACTTTTGGTATAGATTTATCTTGTTTCGATGTTAAGACATCTATGGCGCATTGGGTTAGGTGCATAGCGATGGCGTTCTCTATATGTTGGAAGAAGGGCATTTCTCTTGTCTATATTGGTTTAGCATACCACCACCTTTAACAATACTTTTATCCTGCTGCTTCCTTGTATTCTTTAATTGCCTGTCAGGCCCTCAAATCAAAGAAAATTAATACCGGTTTAAAGTAGAATGTTCGCAATACACTTGGCGTTGTAACTGCTACCTCACTTCCATCTCGTGGAAAAGTATGATGCAAAGGTTCCACCATACTAGACATACCTTCTGACTTTCTCAACCCTCTAAAATGATTGCAGCATGTCCAGCTACTCCGAAGGAGTTATGCCCATTGAAATGTATTTTAAAAGATGCAGTAATGGTTGATTATACAGCCGCAATACAGATGGAACAAATCCCTTAAATTATCTACGCGTTCTTTAGTTGTTATAAAAGACAAACATATTGATGCCAAATGTCGACTAGGACTAGGTGTACAGAAAAGAAAGAGGATCAGCTCAATAACTTAGAGTAATATACAATGGTCTAAACACAACTCGTCATGATATTCACAACTTGCCCCCCGTGATCTGCTCGCCCAACTTCTTGACTCTGCCCTGGATAAGATCCCAGCGAGCCGCCTCGCTCTTCCTAGACTCATTGACGATAGACTGGACGGTTGGGGGTAGGCCCAAGTTCCAGACGTTCTCGCCCTGCTGGTGGTCATTGCGCCAAGCTTCGTTCTCACCCTCAGGGAACACGCGGTCAATCTCAGCTGCGAGCTGAGCTTCGGTAGTGATAAAGTTCCGAGCATTCATGTAAAGCGTTTGCAGAGAGTCCTGCTGTTCAGCTTGTTTCTGGGAGTTCGCAGCCTCCATCCGAGCCTTGGAGAGAGTGAGACGCTCTTCCCGGTTGGGGTCAGGTAGCACCGGGGTGCGCTTAGGCAGCATCTCCTGGATGACCGAAGGACGGGTCAATCGCTCATCCTCTCTCTCTGGCTGCCGGAAAATGCGCTCTCGCCGTTTCTGCTTCTCGGAACTCCGCTGCATCATCGACTTATCCGTCCGCTGCTTCCGGCTGTGCAACTCCAGGAGACCTTCCCTGAGGTTTTGCCTTCTCATCTCTGCCATCCGGCGCTTCCAGTTGATATATTGGGCATGGGGGTCGTTCGGGTCGACATTTGTGTCTTTAGAAGGAAGGGGTGTTGCGGCAGCAATATACTCCTCGGACGGCTTGTCCGCTCTGCGAACGGGGAAAATTTCGCGAGGAACAGGCAGGGTACCCTTCACATGTTGCTTTGAAGGAAGGTCTGGTTGAATGGTACGAGGGATATCGACGAAATTGGGCGACTCTGGTCCGATTCGAAGAGAGGCCGAGGAGGTGAAGCCACGGGCTTGCACGGAGGCAGTCCTGCAACTGCGGAAGAGAGACATGGTAAACACTACCGTTTACTCCACCAAGACCAGGAATAGCAGTCGAATCTAAGAAAAGTGACAAATATTCAAATGTTTAGATAAATTTAACTCGAATAAAGCATGTCTCCATCTGCAATTCGGGGACCCGGACCGGACGATGAGAGACGCGGTTCTGTTGCGAGGGCCGGAAAAAGATCGAAGCGATTTTCTCGCAAATGGTCCGTGCACCCATTAGCTTGGCTGCCGCCCCGAAAAAATAATTTCTTTCAGACTATGAACTTTTTTTTCTTTTCCTCTTCTTCTTCCTGCGCTCTGCCAACTTTATTTCTCTACCCCTGCCTTGAGATTTATTTCCATATAAATCCCAGCTCAGGGACTAGAATTCATTATGGGTACAGGAAAGAAAGAGGCCACTCGCCGGGAGCGGCAGGGGAAGGTTGGAGATGGCATGGGTAATGTCAGGGTCAAGGGTGAAAATTTTTACAGGTCAGCTATCCCATCATAACCTGCTGATTTGTTCGTCGGCTAACTTCATGAAGAGATGCAAAGAAGGTGAAGCGGCTGAATATGTACAAGGATGGTAAACCTCGGCGTGACGCTGAAGGTAACATCACCGTCGCCGCTTCGTATCAGTCTAAAGAGGCTCCCGTTGCCAGGATAGAACCCAACCGTAAATGGTTTGGCAACACAAGAGTGATATCCCAGGAGGCGCTGTCCTCGTTCCGTGAGGCGGTTGCTGAGCGTGCTTCGGACCCGTACCAAGTTCTCCTCAAAACCAACAAGCTTCCCATGAGCCTGATCAGAGACGGTCAAGGTGTGAATGGGCTGAAACAGCATCAAGCGAAGATGGCCATTGAGACCAACCCATATAGTGATACATTTGGGCCCAAGGCTCAGAGGAAACGTGTTAAGCTGGGTGTTGCATCACTGGAAGACTTGGCTGGCGAGACGGCCAAGATGCATGATGCCTATGTTGAGAAGTCCGATCACCAGACTCATGCGGATGGTTCGCTCGCCGTCTCTGGAGATGTTTCTGCTGCACAAGACGGTGCGCATAGTACGACGACCACCGCAGTTGAGTCAGTCTTCTCAAAGGGTCAAAGTAAGCGAATCTGGAACGAGCTTTACAAAGTCATCGATTCCTCGGATGTTGTCATCCACGTCATTGATGCCCGTGACCCTGAAGGTACACGTTGCAGGAGTATTGAAAAGTACATCCGTGAGGAGGCACCTCACAAGCACTTGATTTTCGTGCTCAATAAGTGTGACCTTGTCCCAACAGGCGTAGCGGTAAGATTCCCAGTTCTCCTCTCTTACTACCCTTTTGTCCTTTTCTATTTCTCGTTCATTGTCATACCTTTTCCATCCATCAGGCTATGATGCCTGTGCCATTGCTAAGTCAAGGCTTCTTCCAACGACTACATGTCGTGCTATTCTCCATGGGAGTCTGTCTGTTACAGCTTTGGTAGATTGACGCTGGCCCGCGCCGACCTTCTTTCTGAAGTTAGGCTGATGGGTTTTCGTTTTGAAAGCTTGTCGTAAGGGCCGAGCTGTGCTCCGTTTTTGAGTTGAGTCCTGCTTCAGCCATCCGGCTGCTTCGTAGCAGGTCTCTTAGTAACGTTACACACATTCTACTGTTGAACTATTCTTGCATTGTTCTAACTCTCATACTTACTGGTGTTCGAATGCTAACGAAAACACCAGGCGGCCTGGGTGCGACACTTGTCTAAAGACCATCCGACGTTGGCTTTCCATGCCTCCATCAATAATTCATTCGGCAAAGGCTCTTTGATCCAACTCTTGAGGCAGTTTTCCGCTCTTCACTCGGAAAGGAAGCAGATCTCTGTAGGATTCATTGGCTATCCGAACACGGGTAAATCCTCTATCATCAACACATTGCGCAAAAAGAAGGTGTGCACTGTGGCCCCCATTCCCGGTGAGACAAAGGTCTGGCAGTATATCACTCTGATGAAGAGGATCTACCTCATCGACTGTCCCGGTGTGGTCCCCCCGAACCAAAACGACACGCCCGAAGATATCCTGCTTCGTGGTGTTTGTCGTGTCGAGAATGTAGAGAATCCTGAACAGTACATTCCTGCTGTTCTCAAACGGGTTCAGCCCAAACACCTTGAACGTACTTACGGTGTGAGAGGCTCTGATGATCCTTTGGAGTTCTTGGCTATTCTTGCACGTAAGGGTGGAAGGTTACTCCGTGGAGGAGAGCCCGACCTTGACGGTGTCGCCAAGATGGTGATCAATGATTTCCTCAGAGGCAAGATCCCATGGTTTACCCCACCACCTCACACACCCGGTGAGGAGGGTGAAAAGATTAACGGCCGTGAAGGCAGACTCGGTGAAATGGGTCGGAAGCGGAAAATTGACGCAGTTTCAGAAGAAGCAGAGAAGAGTGAAGCCAAGTCTGGTTCTACATCTGATGGAGAGTTTGAGGGCTTCGGCGAAAGTGATGATGATGACAATGACTCCATCGCAAACCTTGAAGTCAGCGACGAGGAGAGTGGAGAGGAGAATGACTGAGCTAGTATTGGCTCCTATTATTTACCCATCAAGCCACCGAAACAGAAGCTGCAGGCTTCCGCTGATCCACTCTTCAGCAACCCCCGTCGGAGCATGTCCGACTACGCCGCTTCGCAATCAGGTTAAGACCTCACCGACCAGGTCTGACGACCCTGGGCGCAGGTCTTTCGAGTCTAGAACCCTGGAAGTCGGTGTCAACCCCATCCTGTCGTTGTTTATACGACATACTTGGACGTACTACCTGGGCGAGATTCTGCCGCAATCAGTGCATTCAAGGCATGAATTGCTTTTTTAGGTCATGTACACCATTACAACTCACTATAGATACCCACATAGCTTTGAAAACAATCATTTATGATATGAAATGGTACGAGACGTGCATACATTCTGCAGTAGTACTTGAAATATGGTCACTGTTTATGCGCTAGTGCTTCACCGCCGTAGCTCACGTGGGGCCACCCCAGCCTCACTTTCATCATAGCTCTCCTGCATGCACCAAAAGCATCTTTTGCTTATCTTAGTTTTCTCCAAACTCTCCCCCGAGAATGATATTTTCTTGTTTCCCTAATTCAAGAGATGTGCGTGTTCTTTAAACATGGCGGACGACGGCATGTCCATTGTACCCTACGGATCTTCTAATCTTGATGTCGTACTGTAAGATGACTTCGGTCCTAACTGGTAAA